CACAACTAACTACAAACAATTAACTTTTTGAACAACTAACATTATGAACAACTAACATTACTAACAACTAACTTTACTAGCAAAATCCGGATCAGAGTCATAGCTAGAGTTAGAATTAGAGTCATAGCTAAAGCTAGAATAAGAGTTATAGCTAGAGTTACAATTAGTTATAAGCATAGCCAAAAAAAATCAACTCTTATATATTTTAACCAAAATGTGTTATTATATATATTAGGAGCTTTGCTCCCCCCTCCTCTCAGAGGGTGACCCCATTGGCCTATGTTAAGTTCTATATGACTTTTCCCTACTGTTAATTGTGTGCCGTACACAATTACCAAGTAGTATAGGCCTTATATTTTATTTTATTAAGAAACAAGTAAGTTAGAGAATACGTGACAAAAGTTATAAGCTGTATGACATGATCTCTAACTTCATCCTGTTTTTCTAATTAGATAAAATAAAATGAGCTGCTGGGAGCGTGTCTTTTAGCTAAAGGTCTAAATGCGGGATAAAAGTCGAAATAAAAGCGAATGCTGGAAATGTTGTTATATTATATTGCTCGTTTTTTTTTATCATTATGATTACTATCATTATTGCGAAAGTAAAAAATCCCCTAAAAAAAGTCTGAGGGTGCCCGGAGCACAGAGACATGTTGTGGAGATGGTACAAAAGAAACCATGTACATCTGACAAGCATCTGAGATTAGCATTAAAGAATATTATCGTTTGTAAGGCAAACAGTACTTGACCATCTTGTTTTCTCTTTCAAGTAATTCAGTAGTAGGTTTGAGTATTACAGCTCTCAAACTATCTTCGACTAAAAGATGGTAACAACAATTGTTACGATGGGACTGAGACTCAAGTCAATTGAGTAGATGAAATAAATAAAAAAAACATAATTTAGAGAAATGACACAAGATTCACAATTTGGTGCTTAATGATGATGTTGTCTGAATGATAAGAAAAGAAAACTGACGAGAGGTGTACGTACATTGATAATATATCTTATTATTAATATTATTTATATGGTCCGTATCGTATTTTACAATAATAATGAAAATGACTTGCTCAGTTATTGGATTATACTCCATAGTAATGAGTCCACAAATGACCAATGAAGCACAAGAAAAAAGTGAACTTAACAAGCTGATATAACGATGATGATTTTACAGTAAGCCATTAGAAGGGAGATGTATGAGAGAGAAGAAGAAGGCATATAGTTTGGCTAGATGTGTTGAGCTTTTTTTTGTGGTCGATCATTACCAAAGGATCAAAGGTAGTTAGCAATAGAGATAAGTAGAGTCAGTACTCGTTATAGTAATAATTTAGCAGGGAAAAGACGGGGAGGAAATAGCTAAGCTTTAGAAACCTGGTAATGTTATGGACGGTTACGCAAGTAAAGCTACTATAGTATCATTCTTTTCAACAATTTGCTCTTTTTTGGAGGGATGTATTGTTAATACTGTGTGGATTTCCCCATTGGTAGTTCGGTTAATTTAAACCATATAAATATAAATTGAAGTTTCTGTATAATGTGGTGTAATCATTAATAGGTTTTGTAGTATAAACACTACAATTAAGTGAAATAAAAAGCAACAGCCAAACACTGATTCCTTCTTGCTGATGAACCAGGCAAGTTAACAATCTCTGCAACTTCTACGCACCAGGCGCATATATACTACGCACTTATACAGTGTAAGCCAGCCAACCGACCATTAAACAGCAGTGATTCAAATTGAATATATATAAAACCTATTTTTTGACTCTCTTTAATAATCAACACACTCTTACAGTATCTACTTTTTCTAATATTGAGATACTTTTCCATAAACAATCCCGAATACCTCAGGGCATGTATACCACAAACTGCATAATGTATTTTAAATAGCCGTCTAGTAAGGCGCGGCGGTCCAATAAATAAATAAATAATACCGACAAAAAAGAAAGAAAAAAAAGTATCAATGGTGCTTTTAAGAAATGATATATCTCCTTATTATTATTATTATTAGAGACTTAATGAATCTTAGCTATACACCCTTTATATACCAAGATTTAAAATCCTTAACCAGTTTGTCTGATTGGAATAAAAATTTGTACAAATGGGGTTTGTCTATGTACTTTAACCTCGAACCTAAATGAATTTCTTCAAGGGGAGTATTCAAGTAATCACAATTTTTTTCCCTTTATCTTAATCTTGGGAACTTGAGACGGCGGGTGTAATTGGTGACAATCGCCATTTGGAAGAGAAAAGCAGCGACATTAGGAGATTGAAACTTGTAGAAGGAGAGAGAAAAATAAAAAAAGTAAATAGTAGTTGGCAGTAAAGAAGCCAGCAACTCGACTCTAGACACTATACAGCTTGAAAGCTTTTCCTAATAATAAAGTCTCTTACTAGTCACTTTGCCCCCACTCAAGTACTCTGTTGCAGACACGTGTATTCAAAATTGCAAATGATTGGCTCATGTCAAAATAAAAAAAAG